AGGCTCCTTGTTGATGAATCTAAGGGGAGGAAAAACAGGGTGAGAGACATATCACTTGTGAGTTTGCTTAATTAGTGAAGTGATACTTATCTCTCAGTCCTGTGGTTCCGGGGTTTCCCCTTGATGTTCCTGTTGATCTTCGTCTGGTGGTTCCTCTGGTGGTGGTGGATCTGACGGCAGCAGGCAGAGTTTGGTGATTGGTCTTTTGAACTCTGCGTAGGTTGTCTTGATGTTCTGTAGATTTGGTGATCCATCCGCGTGTGTGCCGACGTCCACCCTTGCTGTTCTCACCGTGGCGACTCTCGTGAGTCCATCTGCTCCTGGTTGGGTTGATGTTACTCGTGCTATTGGCCACTTGGCTGGTGGACAGTCATCGTCCACCATCAAGACCATATCGCCAACTTCGATGTTTCGTTGACGTCCTTTCCATTTGTAGATTGCCTGATATCGTTGAAGGCACTCTTTGCTCCACCTGGACCAGAAGTCTTGGATTTTTTGCGTGACGAGGTTCCATCGTTGCAGCTTGTTGATGTACTTGTAGGTGACTGGTGCTTCTGGAATTATTTGGAGAGGTTCACCGATCAAGAAATGGCCTGGGGTGAGTGTCTGGAGGTCTTCTGGATCGTCTGACATTGGGCAGATTGGCCTGGAGTTCAGGCATGCTTCAATCTGGATTAGCACACTGTTGAGTTCCTCATATGTTAGTGTCATTGTTCCCAGGACTCTCTTGAGGTGAAACTTCGTTGATTTGACAGCGGCTTCCCATTTGCCGCCGAAATGGGGTGCCCTTGGTGGTGTGAAGCTCCATTGAGTGCCGTTGGTGGCTAGTTGTGCTTGTATTTGTTGATTTTCCTTTGATGCTTGGTGATAGATCTTCTCCAATACGTCTGCTGCACTGGTGAACGTGGGCGCGTTGTCGCTGTACATGACAGCAGGGATACCTCGTCGCCCGGTGAATCTCTTGTATGCCCCTATGAAGGCATCTGTTGTCTGTCTGTTGACTAGCTCCAGGTGAACTGCTGACGTTGTGAAACACACGAAGACTGCAATGTGTACTGTTGCTGGTTGGGCATTCGTGGGTCTCCATTTTAGTACAGGGAATGGCCCTGCATAGTCCACCCCTGTATGGAGGAATGCCCTTGCTGGTGAGATTCTGGTTGATGGGAGCTGGCCCATCTGTTGCTGTGCTCGTCGTCCTCTGTGCCTTGTGCAGACGGCGCAGCGCAGGATGTATGCTCTGACTGTGCCTCTGCCTCCGATG